TCTCCTCTTCCTCTCTCTCTCTCTCTCTCTCTCTCTCTCTCTCTCTCTCTCTCTCTCCTCTCTCTGAGCTGCGGGTGCCTGATAAGCCAACACCCCCCACTTTCATCACTTACAGCGCCCATCGTACGGGGTGAAAAGGGTGTTATCTTTACTTAATTATGAATGTTGTTACATCAAGGCTGAAGATTCATTTTTTTTTGGTATTATATTTGTATTTAATCTTGTGGAAGTGCAGATCCCCTGTCCTCCACTAGGGGTTGCTGCAGCACCCTCAGCACCCCTACTTCCCACGGCCCTGAAAGGGGATATGCAAATGGTTAAGGACGAGGGGGTTTTACGGTTAAATGGTGGGGATGTTTAGATGATGCCTAAGGGAATTTAAGGGTGAGACCAGTTGGCTTTTCTCTCTACTATATAGTGTGACTGTAAGCTGTGTTCGGGGTGCAGAACTTCTCCATAGAGAGGCGAAGTCCCTCACTTTCCGAGGGAGCTCCATGGGACCTTATTTCGGAAAAATCATGTATTGAAGTCAATGGGGAGAGAAAGATTATCTTTTGATCCCGTTTGAATTGTGCCACGAATTACACATATGATGTTTGTCAATTCAAAAGATAATTTTGCAAGTCAAAAAAAATAAAATGTGTCGTAAGACACTGTTTTTGTGTGAAACCGCTCAATGAACTACATCTCCCGTCTCGCACCACACACCAAGACGGCCGTCACGTTGGCACTTTTCACTTCTTTCTGTCAGAATGAGGCGGAGGAAAGTATTAAAAAGAGGTGAAAATCCTCCAAGTCTGGGCATGTTGAGAGCTGTACATACACACAAGGGGAGTTAGTCGGTTCCGTAAGAGCCAGCATGCGGGACTGGGATTCTGGGATTTGTAGTCTTTCTAGTTGCGTATTTTTCATAGTCTTATATTTCTACAGTTTTACGGCAAACTGTGACTTTTTTGACATGGAAATTATTTTTAAGATTGACAAACATCATATGTGTAATTCGTGGCACAATTCAAACGGGATCCAAAGATACGTTTTCTCTCCCCGTTGACTTCAATGCATACTTTTTCCGAAATAAGGTCCCATGGGTCGGAAGTAGATGGGCGGGACTTCGCCTCTCTATCCTCTGAGGATGAAGTAGCTCTGTTCCTAGATTTGGGATCGATTTCGACAGACCTGAAAGAGGCGATGAGGCGGCAGGGGGCGGAGGAGGGGGAGCGCTGTTTCAGGATGTGTGTGAGGAAGGAGGAAGTGTCGCAGAGCAGCGCTGACAGATGTGCAGCGCTGCTCTGATTCTCACTGTGGTTTCCCCCCAGGAAGCCCTCCAGTCTGTCCACGATGATGAGAGAGGGGGGGGTGGGAGACGTGTTCTGGGACTCGTGGAGGCCGGCCACCTGCTGCAGCAGATCCCCCAACGTCCTGGGATAGGAAAACTTGATTTTCTGTTCAAAATAAAAACAGACAGAGAAGCTGAATGAATGACTGTAGCTGCTCAGGAATGTGATTGACAGGAAAATTGTGGAATAATTTGACGTAGCTTATTTTTTACACTTTTGTATTATTCCATAAAAACAGAGAAGAAAACAGAAAGAAACAATACACACAAATTATTAAAAATATTCGCTGATTATATTAGTTACAGATTTGTTGGATTAAAAACAAATCTATGAACTATTATCGATTTTAAAAAGATTTAGGGTTAAGCGATATGGGCCAAATCTTCTATCAAGATATTGATCCAGGGTATATGCAGGAATCCTGAAGTCAAATGTAAGACCTTTCAAGACCTTTTTTAAGACCCTTTTCATAAATTTGAAGACCTCATCTCCACTTCTAGTTTTAACCGGTTACCTTGGCGACACACTTTAACTCACATTGACTATATACAGTATTGATTGTCCTTCCTCCGTATCTTCCAACCATTTGGTCGCAGACTTGCATTTCCCCATAACGATGTTGTTTAACAACCGGCGTAAACGGACCTTCGCACGCTATCAAGCAGTGAGCGTGCGATGTCCTGTTCAGATGACGTCAAACCCAACGGGATGCCATCAATAAACTACACAGAATCACACTACACACCTACGCAATGATTACATTCAGGCAGACTGTAGAATACAACCTCTTTGGACCATTTATATACTTATTGAAAACAAGCTACAAAATGTAATCCCTTGGAAAATGCCCTTTAATACTTTTTAATAGCCTTCATTTCCCTAAATTGATTTATCAACTTTTAATACTTTTTAAGACCCCGCGGACCCCCTGTGATCAATTGTATACATCGATAACGATTAAAATCGAATATAGCATGTTTAGGGTAATTCAATATGAAACAAGACGTTTTTAACATACAAGGATCGTTGGTGCATAACATTTATATATAGTAAAAAAAGAAAAAGGAAATAAAATATAAAAGCAAGTGATACAGAAACAATAAAAAAGAAAAATGTTGTAAAACATTCTATAAAATATCTGAATCAACCTAACCGTTAAGTAGATTTTCATGACTGGGATGGGTTATATTTTGTAATAATTTAAAGTAAAAAATAACTTAAAGGTCACCTATCATGCTATTTTTAGGCAATAGCATGGGTCTCAGATATATCAAAAATATATTAAAAAAGTGTTTTGCTCAAAACACCAAACAGATCACCCATTCTAGCCATGCTCTATCCCTCTATTTCACTTCCTGTTTCAAAAGTGCTGATTTGGGGTATACAGTTGATGCAAACAAAAAAAGGAGGGGTCTGAGCTCATGTGGGACCCGGCAGCTACTGTCTAAACTAAATACTGCCGTGATGAAACGCCATATCATGGATTATCAAGGATTATGTCTGAAACAGTATGGAGCTCAAAGGCTTTCTCTCTTGCCGGTTATACCACAAGGTGAGTTCCTTTTTACTTCCTGCTTCTTCACACACATGCTCTCCAGTACAGGTTAGCTCTGAGTGTTAGCGATGCTAATGTAAACACCGACCATATTACGTCCAAAACAGTCGGGCATTGTTTCTGATAGCAACTTTCTGATAGGGCCGTGGGTCCACATTTCCGATATTACGTCATATCGGACGCAAATCTGGATCAGCTCCGTTGTTTCCCCCGTTTTTAGAGATTTGGGTACGGAGGAAAAGAGGGAGGGTTTTATTTTCTGACGCTGCGCGAGTTCCTTGACACACCGGGGACACAATTTATGTATAAAAGACATCAGAAAGTGCATTTTGCATGATAGGTCCCCTTTAAGCTGTCAAATAAATGTAGTGAGTAAAAAGTACAATATTTGAGTATAAAGAAAGGACTTAAACTCCCACTGTACATTTTACATTTATATTCAATTTAATTGGGAATAATCAATTTCTTGCACAATAATATCCTGCATTATATTTTTTACTGGAAATATGTATTTCCACATGTATATTTTCCACATGCAGTGTTTCCCCTATATACAAATAGTGGCAGCGCGGCGTCGCTGCTGAAATATGCGCGCCGCTGCTGAAATATGCGCGCCGCTGCTAGGGGGCGCCAGCCAGGTACCCAAAAAAATAAAAAATGGTAGTATTTGTGTTACTGTATGTTCAATAAAGGTGTATTTTTGCTAAATCTTGAGACATTGCCACTGTATGTACTAGGCAGGGCCGATTTTTGGCATAGGGTGCCAGACCTGGGGGGGCGCTGCGCTCGTAGCTCTGGGAGGGGAAAAAACATTTTTGACCGTTGGCGCTCATCCTAATTTTCGGCCTTGATGTAACAACATTCATAATTAAGTAAATGTAACACCCTTTTTTATATGCTACCACTGGCTGAAATTATTAAAAAGAGCGATCTAAGCTATCACATCTATGCAGACAACACCCAGATTTATTTTAAAATTACACCGGGAGACTACTCTCCGATTAGAACATTGAGCAAGTCCATTGAGCACATCACTGACTGGATGACTCAGAACTTTCTCCAATTAAACAAACAAAAAACTGAGGTCATTGTTTTTGGAGCAAAGAAGGACCGATTAAAAGTAATCACAGAGCTTATCTTCAGTAGGCTCGACTACTGCAATAGTGTCTTCACAGGTCAGCTTATCTTCAGTAGACTCGACTACTGCAATAGTGTCTTCACAGGTCTCACTAAAAAATCTATCAGAAAGCTGCAGCTGATTCAGAACGCTGCTGCTCGAGTCCTCACTAACACTAGAAAAGTGGATCACATCACTCCGGTTCTGAGATCATTACACTGGCTTCCTGTCTGCCAAAGAATTGATTTTAAAATACTACTGCTAGTTTTTAAATCACTAAATGGCTTAGGACCGAGGAATATAGACGACCTACTCCATCACTATGAAGCATCCAGGAGTCTCAGGTCTTCTGGGTCGGGTCTGCTCTCTGTTCCGAGAATAACCACTAAACATGGAAAAGCAGCTTTTAGTTATTATGCCCCAACAATTTGGAACAAACTGCTTAAATCGCGCACGTCCGCCGAAACACTTCCTATTTTTAAATCCCGACTAAAACGCACCTATTTGCCGCTGCTTTTAATTGAGCTGCCCATACTCACACTACAGGATGCCTTTTCAGTCATGTATTCTGTATCTGCTGTGTTTATTTATTTAATTTATTTCATTACCTTGGCTTATTATGCCTGTTTTGAAATGCCTTTTTAATAATGTATTTGTGCTGTATTTGTTCTTAAATGTCGTTTGCTTTTAATCTGTAAAGCACTTTGAATCGCCACGTGCTGAAAAGTGCTATATAAATAAAATTGCCTTGCCTTGATGTTAAAAACTTCCATTTAGGCCCCGCCCACTCGATCGGATCGGCGATCGGTATCGGCCGATACTGATTCCGGCGATCGGCCCCAAAATTGGCGATCGAAGCATCCCTAACTGAATACATTTGAAGTTATTTTGACGTATATATATTACCTATGTCAATACGTTTCTGTTTTTGTAGTGTATTTGTCTTTTGTAGAGACTTTTCATTTATTCTTTACATATAAAATCTCGCCTAGGGCAGCAAATTGGCTAGAACCGGCCCTGGTACTAGGCCTCAAGAGCCTTTCTTGTGCTGACACATAGAAACAAATTGGCACATAACCCTATTGCACATAGTTGGTTGATTTTGGTTGGTTGGTTATGTACATTGCCTTGTTTTTTATGCTGCTGCAACGCAAAAAACAAACAAATTGGGATCAATAAAGTACCTATCTATCATCTATCTATCTAGGAAGAAAGACAACTAATCAGGTAAAGTACAGGTAGCTCAAAATCGTACCAACTACATCCCCCCACTGTGTGTACCTTGAGACTCTCTGGGCTGGGGACACATTTCTGCAGACACACCGGGAGGCTCTGGATCTGAGTCTGGGTGAAGAACACGACCCTCACCCCCAGCTCAGAGGCCGCCATCACCGCAGACAGCAGCAGCAACGAGCGGCTGATGGAGCTGTCTCCTAGCAACAGCACCGAGCTGCTGACGGAGCTGTCTCCTGGCAACAGCACTGAGCGGATGACGGAGCTGTCTCCTGGCAACAGAGCACTACAAGCTGAATGAGGAACCACCGTTACATCCTTGTTAACGTCAGTTTGAGACATAAAAGTCCTAAAAACACTCGTTAATATGTCCGCCATGATGACTAAGACGGTACCGAGGATGTAGGACAGTTATATATTCCTTCTTCTTCGATCTCTACTTTATTTTAATGTTCTTCTTTTCGTTGGTTTTTAGAGGCGTTGCATTGCCACCTACTACTTGGTTATGAATTCACCAAAACCTGCTCATATAACTTAAGAAACATTATTATAAAAAAAAGATACACTTTTCTTGAAGATGTGTAGCGTTTCCCGCGTCTGTCTTCATGTTGCACACTGGTGTTCACGCTGCTCAGGTCCGTGTGGAAAGGCTTCGTTCACCGTAACGTTCCGCTCCATGTACACAAGTATTTCCCTTGTGTTTAAAGTTAACATCATGCCCCAAATTATAAGCCAATTTACAAAGATAGGTCTTTAATTTACTTTTAAAAATTCCAATTGAGGTTGCTGTTCTAAGATCAAATGGGAGCCGTTTGGGGCCATAAAAACAGAAAGCAGCCTCCCCGGTTTTCTCATGGTAAGGGTTTCCGGTTAAATCTGACAACAACCGGGACACCGTAGAATCATAACATCAGCTGCTGTGGCCAAGATGGCGCGTAATCCAGTGGAGTTGGAGGTTGCTCTGGACTCGGATCCGGCCGGGGATCAGGAGGATAACGAGGTTTTGAGACGATGCAGAGGAAGACCCAGACTCACGGACTCAGACCGGGCTCAGAGGCGCCTGGAGTCCCGGAAGAAGTACGATATCCGGCGGGTTTACCTGGGAGAGTCGCACAAGCTGTGGAGCGAAGTGAGGAGGAGAACCAGCCTGAGTGATGCTGGGCTGGCAGAGTATCTGATCCTGCTCAACAACACTTATGGAGAGAAGTACCAGCAGGAGTACTGCGGGTGAGCAGAGACACTGTTTAAATATGCTAATGTTATTTAACCAGACCATGCATGCCTTCATTCATAAAAAGGTTAGTAGAGGATTGTGAGAATTTGATCAAATATCTGGATCAGACACCTGCAGGTCCGCTGCAACTCTCACTACTTTTAAATCCAGGCTGAAGACTTTTCATTTTGCCGCTGCTTTTAATTGAACTATTCACATCTCACACTGCACTGTAACTTTTATTCATGTCCCTGTGTTATTCATGTTTTATTATCTTTGCTTTTTAATCTTTCTAATGTGTTTTATGCTCTTAATATCTTTCATTTTTGTAAAGCACTTTGAATTGCCTTGTGATGAAAAGTGCTATATAAATAAACTTGCCTTGCCTTCATTAATATGGTCTGCTGTAATATTAGTGACTTTTCCTTATTTTCTGTCAGCCTAATATTCTTTGCTTTTTTGTTTATTCTTCAACTTCATAATGTGTTATCCTGCTTGACCCAACCAGATCATGCAAGTCCTTTTTTTTATAGATTAGATCAAAGTCATTATTGTTTGCCATTATGGTTGTGTATCAACTCTATAAGGAAGAACTCTAACTCTGCTTAATCTGACCAGTCACTGTCCATTTCATTGTATTACAGGAAGAAGATTGCTCCAGAAGTCTCAATAAAACAGAAAAAAGGTAAGTTGACAGATGGTGATATTTTGAATCCGTTTCCGTTTTTGAGGGGGTTTCCCGACATATCGTTGCAGTAAATTAAAGGGTGTTTCATGTTGTCGTTGCTGTGGACCTTCTTAATCTACCTTCTTTGGGGGCCCCCTTCTGGTCCGGGGCCCCAAGCAGTTGCCTGTCCGCATGTGGCCCTGCACATACATACATTACCCCTTTCCATCTAAGTCTTGGCAAATTATACATAAATACAGACATTCATTTAAATTCTCTGACCTCTCCCTGGGTAGTCGGTACAGACAGTTATGCTTACAAATCCGAAACAGGCGCTAGTTACAAATTAAATATAAAAGAAAATAATGCAAACAAATATGTGGGAAAAACTTATAATATTAACAATGATCACTTGTTGTTGTTTCCCAGGCAGGAAGGACCGGGTGTCCAGCCTCCAGAGCCTGGTCAGCTGGTACCAGGATCACTGCCGCTCCTGCCCTCACGAGCCCCAGCTCAGAGCCCTGGAGCCTCAGATCAACTTCTCCACCGCCGCTATCTGGCAGTGCGACTCCAACCACTCCTTTGTGCAATACCTGTTCTCCCCACCGAGGGAGGCCAGTGACTCTGAACCTGAGGAGGAGGGAGTGATGGAAGAGGAGGAGGAGGAAGAGAGGGCGGAAAAAACAGACGTGGTGGTGGCTAAAGAAGCTGTGAGCAGGAAGATAAGAAAAGACGCTCACAAACAGTTTAAAGGTGAAGCATGTTCAGTCGATAACGATTCAAATCCAATATAGCATGTTTTGGGTAATTCAATATGATAGACGTTTTTTACATTACATGTTACTTGTTAGACGCTTTTATCCAAAGCGACTTACATACTCAATACTGTGGGCAATCCCCACAGGAGCAACTTGGGGTGAAGTGTCTCAGGGACACAACGACATGCTGACTGCAGTGGGGTTTGAACCCTGATTCGAACACCAACGCACAACCCACTGCGCCACACTCCTATGTTTTTAACATACAAGAATCGTTGGTGCATAACATTTATATATATATATATATATATATATATATATATATATATATATATATAGTAAAAAAAAAAAAGGAAATAAAATATAAAAGCAAGTGATACTGAAATAATAAAATAGAAAAATGTTGAAAAACATTCTATAAAATATCTGAATCAACCTAACCGTTAAGTAGATTTTCATGACTGGGATGGGTTATATTTTGTGATAACTTAAATAACTTAAGCGTAAAAAGTACAATATTTGAGTATAAGGAAAGGAAGTAAGAAAAATAATCAGGTAAAGTACAAGTAGCTCAAAATCATCAACCAAGAAATTAGTTAGCATTTGAGCACTTTTGGTTCCCTCAAAGTCAATGGTATTTTGAACCTGAGAAATCTCATTGGCTTTTCCTCAAGGGAGCCCTTGCCATCATCACTGTACTACTCTATTATTTTGTTAAACCTTTTCTTAATATCGTGAGAATTTATATTTTCATCAATACTTTAACAGACTGTTAAACACCTGAACTTTTGAAAGAACATCCATAACATTCATCTGTTTGCAGCTTATATACATCAATATTCCAATTACTTGTATATAGACTATTCCTACTATATTTTATTTTTATTTTATTTACTTGCACTATTATCTGTGTTATTGTGTTGCTCTGTTGGAGGAGCCTGTGACCTAAGATTTGCATTGTCACAACTACACTGTAGCTATGTACACATGACAATAAAAGCCTTGAACCTTGGAGTAGCTGGGAAATGCTGAACACGTATTATCATGTATCTGTTTTTCTGTAGATGTGAGAGAAAATGTTTCTGAAGGACAACAGACACCCATGAGCCCGAGAGAAGAGGCTGCATCTGTAGACCAGCAGCCCAGAGAAGAGGCCTGCTGTGGGGATGTTCCACTAACAGGACAGCCTGTGTGGGAGATGGAGATGGAGCAACATCCAGGCTCCCCTGCTGAAGAGTTTCCATCGGACGAGGAGGCCGAGGATCTGATGCAAGACGGAGAAGAAGAAGAAGACATTAGGACGGTGCCTCACGGATACGAGTGTGTAGAAGTGACGCAGTCTTTAATGGATAAACTGGAAAAGACGAGAGAAGACTCGTTGCTGTCTCAGAGCGGTTCAGTTGGATCGGAGCTTTCTGTCCCGTCGAACATCCCGGAGCAGAGCGAGATGTTCGACCCTCACTCTCTGCAGACGGTGGTGAGCAGCTGTGAGATCCCCGACCAGACGAACACTTTGGGAGGACCGCAGGTTGGTGAATGAGAACTGTGAAGAGATTTTTAAAGAGCTCTATTATGCCCTTTCCTGTAGTTTCTTATATCGGTTATTGTGCATGTAATAGTTTGCAAAGGCTTTAATTCCCTGTGTTCCCTTGCCTGATACGCCTGCTTTGGACTCCTTTGTTTACTTCCATAACATACTGACATCACTATATAACGCTCGCTCTTCTATTGGCTAGCGCTCCAACACATTGTACGTGATAGGCTAAGGGGCGGGACATCTCTAAGTGGTTGACCAATCACAACAGAGCCGGCCAGCTAACCAATCAGAGCAGACTGGACTCTGCTTTCAGACAGAGGAGACTCTTTAAAATAGAGACACTAAATACTGATATACATCTGAACATCAGCAGGAGAGGACTCTTTAAAGTAGAGACACTACATACTGATATATACCTGAACATCAGCAGGAGAGGACTCTTTAAAGTAGAGACACTACATACTGATATACACCTGAACATCAGCAGGAGAGGACTCTTTAAAGTAGAGACACTACATACTGATATTCACCTGAACATCAGCAGGAGAGGACTCTTTAAAGTAGAGACAACTACATACTGATATACACCTGAACATCAGCAGGAGAGGACTCTTTAAAGTAGAGACACTACATACTGATATTCACCTGAACATCAGCAGGAGAGGACTCTTTAAAGTAGAGACACTTCATACTGATATACACCTGAACATCAGCAGGAGAGGACTCTTTAAAGTAGAGACACTACATACTGATATACACCTGAACATCAGCAGGAGAGGACTCTTTAAAGTAGAGACACAACATACTGATATACACCTGGACATCAGCAGGAGAGGACTCTTTAAAGTAGAGACACTACATACTGACATACACCTGAACATCAGCAGGAGAGGACTCTTTAAAGTAGAGACACTACAGACTGATATACACCTGAACATCAGCAGGAGAGGACTCTTTAAAGTAGAGACACTACATACTGATATACACCTGAACATCAGCAGGAGAGGACTCTTTAAAGTAGAGACACTACATACTGATATACACCTGAACATCAGCAGGAGAGGACTCTTTAAAGTAGAGACACTACATACTGATATACACCTGAACATCAGCAGGAGAGGACTCTTTAAAGTAGAGACACTACATACTGATATACACCTGAACATCAGCAGGAGAGGACTCTTTAAAGTAGAGACACTACATACTGATATACACCTGAACATCAGCAGGAGAGGACTCTTTAAAGTAGAGACACTACATACTGATATACACCTGAACATCAGCAGGAGAGGACTCTTTAAAGTAGAGACACTACATACTGATATACACCTGAACATCAGCAGGAGAGGACTCTTTAAAGTAGAGACACTACATACTGATATACACCTGAACATCAGCAGAATTGACACAACAAGCTGATTATCAGACATCATTTAAAGGAGACCTATCATGCAAAATGCACTTTTTTGTATGTCTTTTATACATGAATATGTGTCCCCGGTGTGTCAGAAAACACAACCTTCTCTCTTTTCCATCCATCCATCCATCCATCTTCTCCCGCTTATCCGTGGTCGGGTCGCGGGGGTAGCAGTTCCAGCAGAGAGCCCCAAACTTTCTTTTCCCTGGCGACATCAACCAGCTCTGACTGGGGGATCCCAAGGCGCTCCCAGGCCAGCAAAGAGATATAATCCCTCCACCTGGTTCTAGGTCTACCCCTTGGTCTCTTCCCAGCTGGACGTGCCTGGAACACCTCCCTAGGGAGGCGCCCAGGTGGCATCCTAACTAGGTGCCCGAACCACCTCAACTGGCTCCTTTCGACGCGAAGGAGGATCGGCTCAACTCTGAGTCCCTCCCGGATGACCAAACTTCTCACCTTATCCCTAAGGGAGACACCAACCACCCTGCGGAGAAAACCCATCTCGGCCGCTTGTATCCGCGATCTCGTTCTTTCGGTCATGACCCATCCTTCATGACCATAGGTGAGGGTAGGAACGAAAATGGCCCGGTAGACAGAGAGCTTTGCCTTCTGGCTCAGCTCCCTTTTCGTCACAACGGTGCGGTAAAGCGGCTGCAGTACCGCTCCCGCTGCTCCGATTCTCCGGCCCATCTCACGCTCCATTGTTCCCTCACTCGAGAACAAGACTCTGTTTTCCTCCATACTAGGGCTGAACGATTAATCGATTTTAAATCGAAATCGCGATTTGAAATGATGTGATTATCAAATCGCAAAGCCTGCGATTTTTTTTTTTAACAATTTTTTTCTTTTTTTTTCTTGTGTGTCAGTCATCCACACCAATCAGAAGTGCTGTGCTCCACATGTACCAGCCATTGTTAATCAATCAGAAGTAGCCCATGATAGAAGGTGATAGACAGATTGATACAATCACCTGCCAAGTGCTTCTGAAAGTGCCTGCCCTTTCCAAATGGCTTCCAATGGAGCTTTAGATGGTTTGGTGAAACAAACCATCTGGGTCAGGTTAGTAATGCTCCATCACATGTTTCTATTACAGGGCTAATCTTAAACTGAAGCTCGACTTTAAAGCAACCCAACGGAAGTTTCATGTAAGTTTAGTTTTTTCACTCGTAGCTCGGGCTGTGGGGGTGCTAGAGACGGGAGCACGTTGATACGACCTTCCTAGCCGGAGTTCTGGCCGCATTTTACAATAAACTTCCGTTGGGTCGCTTAAAAACAAATATCGCAAATCGCAATCGCAATATTTGTCAGAAAAATCGCAATTAGATTTTTTTTTTTCCAAAATCGTGCAGCCCTACTCCATACCCAAATCTCTAAAAACGGGGCTGCAATGGAGCTGATACAGATTTGAATTTCTCTGACGTCAGAAAAGGGGTGCTCCGCCTATATGGGCAACTCTCCACCTGTCAGGGGGATGAGAGGTTTGGCCACGGCCATTGCCCAACCTCTCATTCACATATAGGCTGTCGGAAAGCTAAATCTCCCCCAGTCACATCTGTGTTTTTGCCTGCTCTTGCCAGGATGTCTAAGGGAGTTAAACGTTGTGCTGTTGTTGGCTGCAAGAATCGGGACAAGGGACTGCATGCAATGCCATCCCTGGAAAAAGACAAGAATCTGTGGCAGAAGACTCCGGCAGATTTCTGCTTGTGTGTTCTAAACATTTTACCACGGACATGTTTATGAACTAGATTTTTTTCCGCTGGTCAACATGTCCGTTAAAATTTAAATCTTCCGGACAAAATTAGAAAAGTGCCGGTCAAAGGTCTTCTTGTTATTTATTGAGCTTTAAAACAAATGAATAACAATTCTATATAATAATATAAGAATAATACACGGAGGACGGAGCCTCTCTTTTCCTCCCCTTCTTCTGAGAGCCCAGCAGCTGATCTTTGAGCACGCCCTCCTCTCCTGCAGGGGGGCGTGGTCAGCTGCAGCTCATTTGCACTAAAGCTATGTCACAGAATCAGCCCTTGCAAAAACTGGGCTGGAAAAGAGCAAATAGAGCGAAATGAGGCATGGCTAATCATGATCTGTTTGGTATTTTGAAAAAAAAACTTCACAGACATGTTTTATATAGGTATGGCCCTACAATATATTATTCAAATATAGCATGATAGGTCCACTTTAAGTTAGAAACATTAATGAGTGTCAGCGTTTCCGGGAACATTTGAATGGGTTGTTCTATATCTTTTTTGTCAAAGGCTATCTTTGTTTGTTCCCATCTCTAGTTAATCATCATCACCGGCCCCAGCTACGAGGCCCTGGCTTCAGAGGGCATACAGCTGAATATGGGCGGAGGAAACGTGGAGGAGGTCACCTGCACCGTCATCGGGGGGGTCAGCTACAACCAGGTGTGCTCGTCGGACTCAAATCTCAGGGAGGAGGAGGAGGAAGAGGAGGAGGAGGAAGACTCCATGACAGGTGCGCTGCTTTCAGAACTAACACTGACACTTTAAAAATGTGAACGCAACGACTGAATCCAACTGCTCTTATCGGCAGATGTCGAAAGTAACTCGACTCTTATTCAAGGTACTTCTTTCCCTCTGTTTAAACACACTACCTTTGTGTGTGAATGTAGTTCAGCGATTATCAAAATGCCACCACTTGCAGGGGGCCAAATAAGAATTACATTTTTGTATTTCAAAGCACCTCATTCACACCAACGCAACTCCGGTTCAAGCTCCGTGCTAGAGCTTTTCAGGTTCAGAACCGGTTCTTCGGTTTAGCTCAGGCTCCAGCTTCCTCTGTACTTCTACGGAAGACCAGATTCCCAGTAGGTAGCTGGTCTCTTCAGTGGACCACTGCTGCTTGTTAAGTTTCTCCATCGTTGTGTACAAACTGGATAAAGCGCCGGCTTTTTGTTGTTGTTCAGGAGTTGATCCCGCCCCTGCCCCCGCCTCGACGTAAGTGTGACGTATGCGGTACTTTTGCTCCAGCCGGACAATTTTTGGTGCTTGAAACGAACCGGTGTGAACAGGAAAACCCGGTGCTTTCAAGCTCCGGCCCTGAAACACCGTTGGTGTGAATGAGGTATTAGAGGAGCCTGTGACCTACGTTTTTCATTGACATATCTACAATGTAGTTTATGTACAAATGACAACAAAAGCCTTGAATCTTGAGTCTGAAATATAGCTTTTTAAATGCAAATTCCTTGTTAAGTAAACCCAGTGCTCACTCCCCAACTCCTATATATTTTATTTAAACTACTGGCTCCCACTTCCTCCACAGTGTTGAATAGACAGGTGTTTTTTTTATACTCCATGCAAACATCTTATCATTGTAATCTAAGATTGATAAGACTTATAACAAGTATACAGAGCGTGCATGTGTCTGTATGACTGCACAGTATTGTGTGTGAGCTGCTGGGAATAAAAACAGTTTTGCATATTTTTCTGCAACATTTTGTATTTCTGTATACATCCTGCAGCAGCACATCCTCACTAACATCCTCTATGCATATTTACTATATGGAGTATTATAAAATGGGGTAGAAAATCATTAAAAGAGGGCTTTGATGCAGGTTATATTTTCATGATGCAAAGCTGCTCCACTGTCAAAGATAGTTAGGCCCCATTTACATGGGAACGCAAACGAGCCTCATTCGATATCAAAAAAGTCTTACGTTCACACGGATACGGCTCAATAAACGTGTCCCTTCACACGAGACCGCTCGACCCGCTGGAGACGCTGTAGTACATATGCCGGGCCTGTAAGGGGCGCTGTACTTCCGCCACAAAATACACCAAAAGCAGCGAAGAAGACCCCGAGCATGGTTGCCATGGTTGCCCTTCTGTTTATGCCCCGTGGTGGATTTAGCAACATGTAGTTCTCCATGTCCACTTGTTGCTGATGGTTGTGGTAGAGCAGCTGTATAGTTTGCGCTAACATCTGTAGCATGGTCAGTAGCAGTAGCTACTGACCATGCTACAGCAGTGAGCAGCAGAGGTGTGGAGAGGTGGGGCTATGTCTTCATCGTTATCAGGAAATGATCGTATAGGACGTACACACGGAGCCGTTTGGCCCCCCAGAGCATTCCGTCCGCAGATCTATCCACCTTGGGACCCGTTATGGTTTGCGGGGTCCGTTTCCGCGGTTCCATTACGGCCTCGTGTGAACGAACGGGCTATACGAAAGAGAAAAGTAGCGGATACAACCCGTTTCGTTCCCGTGTAAACAGCACCTTAAATGCTTTATTTATAGCATGCTGTCATATTGTAGGTAATGTAACATGTTTACCCTGTAAAAGGTAGATACAATTATAATAAATATTGTGTCCTATAAGGGAGATACTGTTGTTTTACTGACAATTTCTAAGGGAAAATAATTGATTGGAAGAAAATATATTTTTTTATTGCAAAAATGTGTTTCTAAATTATCGTTTATTGCCAGACAAAAGAAAATGTTTTATCAGAAGTGGATTTATTTATGTTTTGCCTTTCGATTAATAAGTAAAAGATACATTATGAATGTAAAGAATACATCTAAACAAGTCTTCTCAACTGTGAGTAAAACTAATGCAATAAAAACGTTTTAGAAAGGTCTGTTAAAAAGCAGTCGAAGGGTCTTATGGAAACAAAGGAAGGAATCCACGCCAATTCTGTTTGTATAGTCGGTTAATAAAATGTCTCTCTGCAGGTTTGAGTAACAAACAGCTGCTGCAGCCCGCTGAGGACTCTCTGGATCTGAGCGGTGACCGAGAGCTGCAGCGGAGTCTGAGCAGGTCAGTGCTCCACATGCTTTACATGGTGAAACCAGGGCTAATATGGAGTCAGATTTGGGTCAATATTCTAGCGCGCAAAACAAGCTACTCACGAGTGGAAAATGTGCTTTTATACGTGCATGAAATGACCCCCGCGCGCAGATTAAACCCCCAAGAGACAGCCCTCTTGCTCGCTCGCGGGAGTGTCAGCCTCACTTGCTCGCGGAGTCTGTCTACGCGCGCGTGAAAAGTTTCTGACACTTTGGGGCGGAGCCACTAGACTTTGATTGACAGCTGCCAGGAAGCCCGGAGTTGCCAGGTTTGATAAATGCCTGAACTACCAAGAGCCGAGGAGTGACAGCTGCAAGATCAGTTGGACGAGACTGAATGGTAAAGTTGTCCATAAAAAAACTATTATATTCGTAATTTATATTCGTAAAGTGTACAGCTACACAGCTATATATAGCTGTGTATATATATAAATTAATTTGATATAAAAAAAATTACACATTAATTCTAGGAGTGCAATACTTTTACAAACACTATAGTAATAATATGCATTCATTATGACAACATCATACTATTACTATAGGAGTGTTCTATAGTGTGTTCAAAAAAGAACTACAGAAACACTATATATTATACTATAGTTATACTATTTAAAATAATATAGGAATACTACAAAGATCTAGATACATAGTATTACTATTGAAATATTATAGGGCTACTATAGCTAATAAAATGGCACTACATAAAAAACTATAGTAATACAATAGCTGGTGAAAAATACAAACTTACTAAAGGACACTATACAACTCTTATAGTATAATATAGTAATACTATAATTCATTTATAGTTCATTTCGTAAGGGAGGTACAGCAGACAGCAGTTTTCGACAGATACAGCCCACTCAAAAATATATTGTTTTATATAAAATTCATTAAGATATATATATATATATATATATATATATAATAGTTTTTTTTATGGCCAACTTTACCATTCAGTCTCGTCCAACTGATCTTGCTGCTGTCACTCCTCGGCTCTTGGTAGTTCAGGCATTTATCAAACCTGGCAACTCCGGGCTTCCTTGCAGCTGTCAATCAAAGTCCAGTGGCTCCGCCCCAAAGTGCCAGAAACTTTTCACGCGCGTAGACAGACTCCACGAGGCTGACACTCCCGCGAGCGAGCACATAGCCGCTCGCGGGGGTTTAATCTGCGCGCGAGGGTCATTTTATGCGCATGTAAAAGCACATTTTCCGCTCGTGAGTAGCTTGTTTTACGCGCTAGAATATTGACCCAAATCTGACTCCATAGCTAATTTGAATTTTAAAAGACGAGCAGAAATGATAATCCAACTCAAAGTCAACTTTCAGTTTGTGTGTACAGACAGAGAGATCGAAATACCGTTTCCCACAATCCCGAATACAAAAACAAATATATATTAAAAATATGTATGCAAATCTGTATATCATATATATATATATACATACACACAATCAACAGACACATTTATACATATGCACATATTAAGATGTAAATAAAAGCACAACAATCAATATATACAAAATAACAGTCACTTAAACTCCCCTGCACTTCAGTGTTTGCTGGTTTTGTGAATTAAGTCTGCAGTGTGTCTGTTTTCACAGCGTCAGGTCAAAGAGAAACAGGCGAGGCCCGGTCATCGAGGCGGACGGGATGCTGAAGATGTTCCACTGTCCGTACGAAGGCTGCAGTCAAGTCTACGTAGCTATCAGCAGCTTTCAGGTAACAATACAAATCACTGTGAAGGTACAGGAATTTGGGGTCAGGGATATTCAGACTCTGGGAGAAATATTGAGCTTTAAGATTCCCTGTGAGCCCAGGGTTATGTACCTGGGCTTGATTCAGGATAGTATAATTGGAAAGGAGGACTCTTGATACTAGAGGGTAAAAAGGTCACACGGACTGGGTCAATGGCTGGACATTGTTGAAGAAATATTTACTATGGAAAGACTGACCTACTGTCTAAGGACTAAAGCAGAGATCTGTGAACAACGCTGGGAAAAATTGACAGTGTACAAGGAAAAAGAAAGACCGTGAACTTTTTTTTTCTACCTATAGAGTGCCACAGTGACGCGTCCTAAAACCCAGAAGTAAGTTAGCATGTTACCACTTCCGGTTCCTTCGCCAAAAAGCAATGCAATTTCTCCATAGGATTTTGGAAAATAGCTGGAAATAAGGTCTGTGGTTGAGACACATTGAAGAGACGGATCACGTTTTGTTCTACGACATTGAATCCATCAGCAGTGACCCCACTGGTGATTTCTGAAGTTTACGTGTCTGAGAAACGATGGTTGTTACCAAGTGGCTGAATAGGACTACAGAAGTTGTCGAGGCAGTTGTACGTCATTACACCGAACACGTAAACACTCCCGCTAAGTTTGTTTGCCCTGTTCTGCTTGAAAGCAAGTCCCTGCCTCCTGCAAACTGTTCAAACAAACGCTTCAACTTGTACCATTTACAATCTGTATGTTTGAATATGGATCTTAAGTTGGCGTGACGTTGAAGCAGCGATCCTGCTGTAGTTCCTTTATAGCATAACGTTAGCATTTTGCTTCTGGCGATTAGATTTACGATTAGAAAATTATAAAAGTAGGGTAGACATGTGGATAATATCCGGCTGAACAAAACGTGATCCGTCTCTTAAATGTGTCTCAACCACAGACCTTATTTCGAGCTATTTTCCAAAATCCTATGGAGAAATTGCATTGCGTTTTTGTCGAAGGAACCGGAAGGAGTTTACTTCCGGGTTTTAGGATGCGTCACTGTGGCACTCTATGTAGTTGTGTGTGTTATATATTTGTTGAATGAAAAATAAAGAGTTTAATTTAATACATTTCAGTTGTTTGGGCTTTTTAAAATAACCATCTATTTGGTCCACTTCCCTTTTTGTCTGTAGAATCACGTGAACCTAGTCCACAGGAAAGGGAGGACCAAGGTTTGTCCTCATCCAGGCTGCGGGAAAAAGTTTTACCTATCGAATCACCTGCATCGACACATGATTATCCACTCAGGTACATTCACAGAGAAACCCTTGTCATGTAAGAATATCAACTCCATAAACCGTTAACATGTAACTGAATGTTCCTACAGGAGTCAGAGATTTTATCTGCGAGACGTGCGGGAAATCGTTTAAGCGTAAGAATCACCTGGAGGTCCACAGGAGGACTCACACAGGAGAAACACCGCTACAGTAAGTCACTACAGCTGGACCTTTGGACTGCGTTTTAGGGCCATTGTTGGTTAAAATCAATAAGTAAGAACCAACGTAATAACTAAAAAAAAAGATTCAGAATTTCCAAAATAACTTTCGTAATTTAAACCAATAAAAAACAAACTGAAAGCTGAAATGCAAAATAAATCAAACTAAGTAATATAAAACTATTTTTCCTCAAATATCCACTTGAGACTGGCTCAAGTCTCACAGTTACAGTCTGGTACAGAAACTGGTTTTGCTCTCTAAAGCTAATTTCCCTATTCATGGCGGCTGTACCGGGAAATATTTTCATATAACTCACTGGTTTAAATTACATGAAGGCTTAAAGTCATGCATGGTTCAGAGCGTGGCTGCTTGCAAACAAGAAAAATAATTATGTTATTAATTTAAAACTCAAAATCTACCTTATTTAAAAGACTTTAACAGTTTGGTTAATGCTGCTTTTCTGTGTTGAATAAACCCAATGCTCACTCTCTATTCCTGAATTAGACAGGAGTCACCATGCTATAAGGAAGGTTTTTATTTATTGAAACTACTGGCTGCCTCTTTCCCCACTGGGTTGAATAGACAGGTGGATATTTGTATACCATGCAAACATCCTATCATTTCAATCTAAGCTGTGACTCATTATACTGTACTGTGCATGCACGTGTATCATGTATTATATGTCTCATCTTCTTACCTACAATGGCACTATTTGCCTCTGAAGAAAACGGATCTTATTTTAATCCAGTTCTGTAGTGAGCAGGTTTGAATGAAAGACACGTTTGTGACACTAATATTGACCTACAAATCTGGAACCAGGATCATCCAATCACTTTTCTTCTTTCTTACCTGTTCCTTCTTGTCTTCTCACCCACGTCATACGTTAGATGTGAAATCTGTGGGTACCAGTGTCGTCAGCGAGCGTCTCTGAACTGGCACATGAAGAAGCACACTTCAGAGGCTCACTACAACTTCACCTGCGAGTTCTGCGAGAAGAGGTTCGAGAAACTGGACAGTGTTAAATTTCACAAACTAAAGAGCCACCCAGACAAACTGGCAACGTGAAGTGTTCAGAAACCTGATGATGGGACTTAAAAATGTACAGAACGGCCGTCAAAAACCAAAGGAAGACTTCCAGGAAAGAGACTTTGCTTTGCTGGGTTTGTCTGGCCTCTCATGTTCAGGATAATATGAGTATCCACTGTAAAACACACAAGAAGTGGATAAAGTGGGCCTAACAGCTGTGCAGGACACAAGCTAATTCAGAGTAGGCCTATAGGGCCAAAACAGGGGTTCTGAACATGTTTCGTACATTAACAGCTCAATCATACTTTTAAAATCATTTTATAAACCATTACAAGACAAAAATCAAGAGTACAAATGTAATAAATGGCTGATACAGGGTGTTTGAGGGCTCAGACATCAGCTTCCAACTTTAGCATGGTCAGCTAACTAGCTTACTACCTGAAATAGTAATCCATTGTTACTTCTAATAGCAGCTGTATCTACTATTATTGTAAGTTGTTGTTAAAAAAAAAATAGCCTGTTCACAGCTAGCACATCCACAGTGCAGTATTTCCCCACTGTGTGGGAGTCAGTCCAAGATGCTACTGTAGCTAGACTAACGTTAGCTCCTTGACCTTGGTTCTTCTTGGTAGCTAACTTGTTATGCCTGAAAGAGTTTTGTTAACTAAATACATTGGCTACTTCTCATCCTAAAAGCCTTTTATTTCAATGGTCAAAGTAAAATTTAAGAAATATTAGCTTAGCAGCTAACGCTTAATAATCAATGTTCAACAATAATTAAAATACTAGGACTTAAGAATAGAAAAATGCTGTTTCTTTATTTTCTATGTAATATTGCTAAATATTATACTTTAACTGGTTTCTTATTTTCATAACGAGTCAGTTTAAAACATGAAATAGTCGATTGAAGATGGTGTTTCTTTATCTAGCGGATGTCGCTAACGTTAGCCTGATTAGCTAACTAGCTAGCTAGCTATATCTGATCAAATCTTTCAGTGACAGCAATAATTTCCGCCGGTTTAATTTTCTGTTGATGGCTAGAAGTGGCTAGAAGTGGGAATCATCCTTTCTTTTACCTCTGAACGAAATATAGGCCTACAGGCCATTGTTTTGAAAAATGACAATGAGTTGGGATTTGGATATCATTTTATATTTATTAATAAAAAAATTGAAATATTTTTTGAAAGTGCTCTGATTTGAAGATTAATACCTCCAAGAAAGATTATTGATAACATTTCAGTTGAATGGATTTTTTTTTTTAATATTCTTGAAATTAAGGCTGTGAAATTAAATTAATGAGGTTTGAGTGTTGCACTAGCTACTCGTACTGACATGTGTAGGATCTTCCATTTTGGTCAAAAATGTTGTTTTGTGAGCTAAAGGCAAATACTTTGCCTTACATTTTCCCTCTCAATCTGTTTTCATTGTCCCATTGACAGTTCCTCAGGAAAACTCACCTCAGTCCTCTTTTGTCCTGCCTGTACTTTAGTTTCCAAAGCACTTTTTGTTAACTGATGAATCACTAAAATGTGCCAATATGACCCATTTGTGACGTATTTCTTTGGAACATATTTGTTTGACACATGGTTAATAATATGCAGCGTGTTGTTGCCTCTTGCATTACGCTTTCAAGGGTGGGTGTTTGTGTGTGCCAAGTGTGGGTGTGCATAAATATTCAGAAAAGGCATGAAAATCACAAGTGACATGACTTTAGCATGGAGGAACAAGTTGCATGTAACGCCAGAAGAGAACAAACATGAGTCAGGACTAAGAAAGATATATTTATTAATATAAAATGCATTTCAAATAGACATTTTAATATGTGAGGATGCATTTCTATTTATTAATGTACCTTTTATATAGGCCCTTTCCCAAGCTATTCTTCTCAAAACTGTCATGTCTCCTTTTAAAATGCAGTGACTAATCGTCAGTATTCTTCTGCTGTAAATCATCTATCCTCCATTATTTTGCAGTTGAGTTAGTAATTCCCACCTGTCACTCTCTCCATGCTCTTTTATCTCTGCTTATAATGATTATGATGTTCAGATAAAGGAATATGTCAGACTGCACAATGTTTGAAATGTGAGGCCACAGTCTGAGGAGCACTCATGAGGAAAAACCCAGAGCTCGAGAAAATTACATTTTCATTTCATTTAATCGTTTATTTGAACAGGGACAATGCACATTGATAAACACTTTAAAGGTCCCATGTGATGACCATTTCTACTGATCATATTTCCATTGTTGAGGTCTAGAATATATTTAAATGGTGCAATTTCCCAAAATCACATTGGTTTCTCATCCAGCATCTCTGCATAGTATGTGTATTCACCAGGTATTCACTCTCTGTCCTAAACGGCTTGTTGGAGCTCCTGCCCCCACCCCCCTCCCTGTGAGCCCAGTGTGCTCTGATTGGTCGGGACATTGGGAGGCTCGTTGCTGCGAGGAGCGGACAGGTTTCCGATACAGCGAGAACAAGCTAAACTCATCCTGAGCACACACAAACACTCACAGCCGAAGTAAAAAGTGTGGCTTGATATTGAGAAAGAAAAAGGTTTATAACGCTGTGAGAATGGGTCTGCGGAGAACATTTCTCCACCTTCCCAACTCGTCTATTACCAGCGTTCAGGGAGCTCTATGCAAGACAATGGGACTCCCTGTTAGTTAGCCAAGGGGTCCTGGTGTGTGAGGTGCTCCGCGGATTGGTCCATTCCGGTCATTTGTTGTAGATTTGGGTTTTCACACGTCACAGAACCCAGGAAGCAAACAATGGAAAAAGATAAATGTCCAACGAGGCGTTCTGGGGCAGCACAGACAGGTCTTTTCTGTGTTAGAGTTTTACTCCCTACAGGGTGTACTTTGAGGGTTTGAGACTCTGCAGACCGTTCACATGCAGAAAAACCTTCATAACACAAGGAGACGGGTAAGAACCGGAAAAGCATGACATGAGACCTTTAAATTATTAAAATGTGTTTAATTGAGAAAAAAAATCACTGTTAATCCGAAAGCTAATTGTTTACTTTGATTAGTACAACTTTACCTCTCTCTATCCCCTCCCTCTCTCGTGAGACCAGCCTTTCACTCCATGGTGATGTGTGTGTTATTACTCAGCTGCTTTAGTCACACCCACCTGCTCTCCCCCCCCCCCCCCTCCCTTTTTAGTACTTATAACCAGCAGACAGCCTTCCAACAAAAAGCAGAAAAAGTCACTCAGAGGCTGTTTCTTATCTAGCGGAGTCACAGGAAGTAGGGGACACAGAGAGTACACTGTGGGTCATTTTCCTTTTTTTCAGAGGACAGTCGAATAATACACTCCTCAGTTTACTCCCATCAACAGCCTCCATCACCAGAGTGAACGTCCTACGAGTTCTCCTGTGAAAGGTAAGAGAAACTTAACTCAATTTAAAGTTATCTGGTTAATTCTCTGTTGTTTTTCCAATTGCCGTACCAAACGTAGATAGAAATCCATCCAACAAAGATCCTTTGTCTCCTGAGACCTGCCTGCAATTATTCTGCTCAATGGCGTCCTTTGAGATTTGCCTGTCTGTTTTTTTGTTGTTTTTTATATAGTGAGTCAGAGACGAGAGGTTTTGTTGATCTAAGACTGGCAAATACATCTCAAGCACCCATTTCATATGTCACCTGCAAACAAGAGCCTCCACTCCTGTGTTACCAGGTGTTGCAAGCGCACATCCTTTTTTTCCAGAGATTTGCATGTGACTCGAGCTTGTTAATGCATCACCAGTGTCAGAGTGCAATGGCTGACCACGAGGAAGTGAAGCTCAAAAGGTGATGGAGGAAGTTTTAGGGAGTCAAGGCAACCATTCGTTACATTTTGAAGGCATCCTAACCTTCGAATGTATGATTAACTTGATGACAACCAGCTTACTGTAACTTAAAAACCTGACAAGCCACTTCCTTTTGCATCGCCTGGTTGTTTATTTACGAAAAGGGTTCAGAATAACTGTAAAGAGTGAAGTACATATGTTATAAGTGAAAAGAGGCCTTTAGGGATATCCCAATTCCTAGAAAAGCAGCCTGTTGCTATCAACAATAGGGTTCTGCTCTGTCATTGTCATCGGGGATTACAATTTCTCTGTGTTGTCCCCCCAAACAAAGGGCACTGTTTCACACCAACACACACACACCGATTTTTTTAATGTCTCTAGAACAGTAGGGCTTGTAAAAGGGTGTTGTAGGAGATAGGATGTGTGTTTATGGGGTCAGATATATGTTGTATCTCTTGCAAACACACTTGTAAAACACACCAAAGAGAATTTTGTTTTGTGTGTGTCAACAGATAAAGAGCTGTTGTTTTGTACCGCAAATGGCCATTGGTTATAGCCCCATAAAGTCTGATGGGTGCAATGGATCACTAAGTTTTCTATGCAAATACACACACTGGAGTCTCTGTTTATTTAACAAGAAATAGCATTTGTGTGCATTTTACATCCTATAGGCAGGTGGAATTAACTTAGTGCATTTACTCAAATACTGTACTTTAGTATAATTCTGAAGTACTTTATACTTCTACTCCACTTCAGAAGGGAAATAATGCAATTTTACTCCACTTCATTTATTTTACAGCTGTAGCTACTTTTAATACAATGCATCTTTAAAAAATTCAACTAGTAGACTTTTTCTCTGAGTCACAAACGAGTCAAATTACTTAAATATTTTACAAAACGTCAATCAGAACGGTGTTTGTCTACAACAGTAAATACTTGATGCAACATTATTGTCTATAAATGTCACATAAATACAATTATATACACACATAAAGGCAGTTTTTCTGCACAATAATTACTTTTTATACTTTAATTATATGTTGCTGATATAAAGTAGAATTTTGAAATCAGGACTTTTACTTGAAGTGAAGTATTTTAAGACCATAGTATTTATAGTTTTCTTAAAGGTAGGGTAGGTAAGAATGGAGAAACCAGCTCGAGTGCGCTTGCAGCCGGAACAAATCTGCCCCTTCCTTCAGACTTCCTCACAGAGCCCCTCCTCCAACACACACGAACGTGCACATGACCAATGAGGGCACGAGATAAGTTTGTGCACAGATGGAAGGCTGACAGGCAGGTAGGCCATCCAGTTACTTTAGCCGGGCCGGCTCAGATGATTGGTCGTGCTTTTTACAGTACTACGGCTTCCACAGATGAAATGTTTTAAGTATTTATTGTCAAAGAATTTAATGTATTCATTGCTATCGGGATGTTAAGAGCATTCCATGGAATATAACAAAGTGTTTCTGAAGTGAATTACCTACCTCACCTTAGATGCATAAGTGGGTCTTTTTTGATCCGGTGAGGTGGTTTTCTTAGAGTATCTTTGTAATTACATTTTTTTATCATTTCATATTCCAGCTATTCCTCAAAAAACATGTTTTGGATATTATGCCATTCACATTTTAAATTTACATTTGATACATTTTAAGAAATTGTAGTTTTTGTATTACTAGCCCAAGCTTCCTTAAGTGGGTCAAAAATGAGCCGCATGCATTTTCTATGGAATTTCGTATTTTTTTCAAAATGTAAAAACAATTTCTAAAATTATAAATAGTAAAAATTAAATATAAAATATGTCTAGTGTGAACCAAAATATAATACTAAATATTAAGTGATTTTTCTCAACCAAAATGACACAAATTGCATAAAAACACATATTATTCTAATACGGGTCCTTTTTGTCCAGTCACTCGGGCATCTAAGGGTTGAGTAAAGGGTCTGAGCACTTCCTCCAACACGTCTATATTTATATGATTTTGTAGTTTTATACCAAAATGGTCTAAATTTGGACAATAAAGTAGGAAAAGCTAATCATTTCCATATACAGTATGTTGTAGTTTGCATATCACTGGCTTAATGAAAGGTATTTTTGTATTTACTTCCTCAATCGTAACTTCTCTACACCCATTAACTCTAAACTAAACAAAGCCCTCACCCAAGTTCCCTGTGAGGTCATATATGTACTTGAAATGTCCTTAAGAGTGGACGTGAAAGGTGTTTGAGTGTTTGACAAAGATAAGTTATTTAGCTTACAAAGGGCAACAAGGTGACAGGTGGCAGGTGTTTTCCCACTCCCCTGCTCTCTCCAGGAAACCACACAATATATCTGTTAATTTGTCACCTAATTGGCGGTGCATAATGACTTTTTGACACTCGGGACAACATGTCCGAAACTCATGGAGATGACTAACAGCAGCAAACAAATGAGGTGATGTGATTCAAAGTCTGGTTAAAATGGTATTATAATGACTGAATAATAAACAACTTTAAATTGTTGCATACAAATCAGGAGACTTGCTGTTTGACTGTTTTGAGTAAAAATGCATTGATTTTCTTATTTCTTTTCTCCTTATAGGTAGAAAAATCAGCTGCTAAAATGGGATGCTTTGGATTCCTCAAAGCCATGATGGTGGTTTTCAATGGCATTATCTTCGTAAGTTTTTTAAATACTTCAAAAATATGATTTCCTTATCCAAAGTAAACACTGGCGCCATTTCATTTCACTTGCAGGTTGTTGGTTGCAGTGCAAC